GGTAAATTTTACCCCCCTCGCGAATTTTTGCGATATCTCAAAAACGGCGGCGCGCAGCGCCGCCAAACTTTCAGTACCTTTTCTTACATCAATTTGACACGTTCCCTGAAAATTTGAGCGAAATCCGTCGGAAATTTTTTTGAGAAATTGACGTTTTAGTGACGTCATGTTCGCCATTTTCGCCTCAAAAACGGCAAAAGTTCAAACGCCGCTAACATCTTCATTTTTAAAGGAATCAAGACGTAACAAAAAAGGTTATACGTAATTTTACTTTGTCTATCAAATGGCTATCTCGGTTTTTTGAAAATTTTGGATTTTGGCCTCAATTTTTTTTTAACCCTCGCACGACCAGGCCATTTCTCATAACACGAACGACCGGGGGGGGGGTTGTTACGACCCCCCCCCTGGCGTTTCGAAACGGAAGGTCGTAGAGCTTAGCGGAAAAAACCAACGGATTGCTCTCAACGAGATCTCGCGATTGGTGGTATATTTTTTGGTCCTAGGTCAACATTTGACCTACTTTTGACCGGTCAAAGGTCAAATTTTCGGAAAAATATACTTTTTTCAAATTTTGGCGGCGATTGCGGCAAAACGGTGGGAGATATCGACTTGAAACCTTCACTATCGTGTTCCTTGATCAATTCTCTATCGTTTGGTATGTATTTCGTTTCCCTAGCTCTAAAAATGGCGCGTTGGGAGCGCCGGAAGTCGGCAAGGTCACAGTCGGCGGCAGAAATTCGAAAAATCAAAATTTAAATTTTTGAAATCTGATTGTATTTTTGGATTTGGGAGGTCCATTTGCTTCCTATAGAAGCTAATATTGCTGCATATTCCCATTGAGGTGACAAGAATTAGCAAAATAGTGGTTCGGGCGCTTTTCAAAAATAGTACCGGACGCTGTTCCTCTTGTGACGTCATAGCTCCGTGACCTGACCTGACCCGGTCAAATTTCTTATACCATATGATAGCCAATACTTGCCCCAACATGCATGGGAAGTTTCATCACGATCCATCAACCGATGTCCGTACCACCGGCAGGAAACCTCGGGCGTTGGCACTCAGTTTGTGAAAATCCGGCCGGAGGCTGTACCTCTTATGACGTCATAACTCCGTGACCTGACATGACCCGATCAATTTATTTTCGGCAAAAGATGCGCAAAGGTTGCCCCAGAGGGTATTGAAAATTTCAGCCCGCTACGACAAGCCGTTTAGCGTGCACTTCGAAAAAACCTCAGGGGGGGGGTTGATACAACCCCCCCCCCTAGGCGTTCTAGGGTTAAAAAAACTAACTTTTTTGGGAAAATCATTATAAAATCCAAAATTTTGAGTCTATCGAAAAAACCGGAATATATGTCAGAGAAGTGGTCTATGTGCACCTTCATACCAAATTTTAGAAGAATCGGTTCAAAAATGTGGGAGTTATTCAAAATTTTATGACGTCACGACACACAAAATTTTTGAAAAATGATTTTTTTGGAAGTTCTAGACCTCGTACGGAAACAAAAATAGCACCATTCGATTCGCCGTGAAAACTGCATCAGACAGACACCTTTTTAGGCCTTAACAACCAACTTCAAAATTTGACGTCACTTGACCTGACCTTGACCTGACCTCGACCTGAAATTCATCCAGAGGTGGTCCATATCACTTATTGAGTGTGCCTATTGAATTCTATGAGTAAAATGACCCATAAAACATGTGTCGCACATGCCCTTTTCTATATTTTGTTTTTTGGTGACCTGACCTGACCTGACCTGACCTTGACCTTGACCTCTGAATGATATTGTATGCAACGAATATTGTCTTGGTAGCCTAAGAACACGTTTTGGGCGATCAGTCTCAGTCCATGACTCCATTCTTCGGCAACTACGGTGCAAGGCCGATACTGTAGAAACTTGCAATTTGTACCCTTGACCTGACCTTGACCTTGACCTCAAACTTTAAATTAAGTACATGTTTTTAGTAGTTCGTGATGAGAGCTTTCGATTGGCGTTTGAATTTTCCAAATCGGACCATTAGTTCGGGAGATAACAGGGGGGGTAAAATTTACCCCCCCCCCCCAGCCCCGCGCGTTCGGCTGGAGACCCCAGCCCCGCACGGGTTAACTTGGGCGAAGCCGTCGTAGAGCTGTGCCGGTTTCCTTGGGTAACAGCTACTGAGGGAACGATTTTCCATGAGACAAAACGTGCATTGAATTCCATAGCAACGCGTAAGGATGCCAAATTGGAGGAATTATTGCAGTGTGGATAGTTATTGGAAGAGTACCTACTACCTATGCCACTACCGTAGCATCCAATGCCTAGACCACAGAGCATCTGGATCCGCCATTCAATCTATGCTGAGCTCACAGCTCCTCTTTCTAATTATTCCTCGTTTGAGGCCAGTTTTATGAACAGAAAAATAGCCGGCTGCCGGTATTCTTATTTCTAAAAGCCTTCCTCACGATCAACTAATCACGCGACAAAACCGCTATTGTGAAAACAAGTTAGGCTGGCTGATATTAAAGTGACCATCCCACCTTAACATTAGTTTTGAGTTGAGATAGCCAAATTGGTGGCCATGGCCTGAAAATACCGGTTTGGGCACTCACAATATCGAAAAATGCTTTAATTCGGAGATATGGAATTTCAAGCTTGCAGTTTTCGGATTCTAAGGGGCTAATGCATTGGTATGCCCCCTTAGAATTTGTGACGTCAGAGGAGATGTAACGTTTTTTAAATATTTTATTAAAACGTTTGGTAGCACGCGGTGGTATATGCTGCTTTGCGCGCAACAAATGCCGCACTTTCAAATAAAGTCGCTAGGAACAGCGGAGATCCCAAAAAGTAAACAAAATTTAAAGTCTAATATTTTGAAAACCAGTGAATATTTTTCGATGAAATTTGGTAGATATTCGTTTTCGCTCTTTCTGAACCGAGCGACACACTTTTATGCCAATTTATTAACTTTTTTTGAAGGTGGGAGGGTCCCTTTAATATTAACAGGAGTAGACTTTTTTCGCCTGGATGCGAAATTTGGGGACGACTGAAGGCAACACAAATTTGGGCACTCGGCGATTTTTCTGTTAGTATAACTGGCCTCTGATAGGTAGTCAGCTGGAAATTAATGTCTTTTTCTTTTTCGCTGAATTCAATTTCAATGGCAGTGGCCAGGCCGGGCAGACCGGCAGAGGTATTCATTACTTCGATGGATTGTTTTGTGAACAATATAAGCAGGTCAAGAGCGAATTTAACTTGACTATCTCGCAGTGGTCGTAGACTAAGTGCCACGCGGCGGCATCGCACAATGCACAGTCTCGAGACGCCTGAGGCTGTCTGGGCTGCAGCTGGGGAGGGTGCAGGGGGAGGAAGGGAGGGGAGGGGAGGGGAGAGAGCTGCGAGGTCGGCTAGCGGCGGGCTGGGGCCCGTTTGGGAAACCCTTGGTCATAGGCGGCGGAACGGGGAGGGCACCGGGGCACCGTGCCCCCCTTTGATTTTGGCATTTTAACATTAGCCCTATGGGCGTTGCATGGAAAGAATGGGACCAAAAGTCGGCAGTGCCCCCCCCCCCCCGCTTAATTGAAGGTGTTCCGCCGCCACTGCCCTCCGTGTGTGACCGGTCCGCTTCCGGACAGTGAGAACGGGGAACACGGCCGGGAATATATGGTCGTTATTTGTTGAATCAGTTTCCGGATCACCAGTGTTTTGGTTTAGTCACTCATCACTCGTACGAAACTGAAGACTCATCTCATATATCGTTTCCACCATGCCATCTTTGTCATCGCTTCTTTGGAATACGGATGGGATCATTGGTTCGCAACTTTCATTTGATGTTGAAAATTTAGACTCTGAATTCTAAAAGACGTCCATAAAATAGTCGTCGACGAAGTTTCTTTTGCATTGTCCCACGGGGTCAGTGGCGTGCAGGTCACGTCGCAGCTACAGCGGCCGGCAGAGGCGGCTCCGGCACAGCCCCACTACCCCATGCTGCAACCCCGGACCCGACCCAGCCGGGCAGCCAGGCCGGCCCGGCACTCGGCAGTCGGCAGCCCCGGCACTCGGCACTCGGCAGCCACGCCAGCCCCGGCCACAGCTGTTCAGAGAACGCACCGCGGCCGTCAGACGTGCCCCGAACGTGCCGGATCCCTCCCCAGGGGGACGGGGCAGGGAGTGAGGGTGTCGTACTGCCGGACCGTCTCAGGTTCGGTCGTCCCCGTGAGAGGGGAGGGGTGTAGGGGGAGCGGTCGGTCGGGGCAGGGGTAGGCCCTCGCGTCCCTCAGACAGCTGCGGGGCTTTATGGTTTGTTTGTCGCTGGAGTGAGAAGGAGAGATTAGTCGCATGGAAACCAGAGACGGAGTCCGTCTCAGTTTCGACACTCAACTATTACCTACGACCTCGGGCTCGGCATTCGCTTGGTGCTATTATGCTGCACTAGCCACTACGGATAACAACTATCCGCAGCCTGTCAGGTCCAGCGACTGCGTCATAGAGGGACCGGAATTATAGCTTCTTTATCCTTTTTTTAATGTGTATTCAATCGCAAAATATGTGAATGGGCGCTAAATGACCTAGTCGCAGCCATAGCAGTTGGCTCACTTAAAATCCAAATGAACAAAAAAAAAAAATAAGCAAACAAACAAAAACTTGTGCGGGTTCCTGGAGAGAATGAACCAACATTTTTTGAGAAATCAACAACAATGAATTATAGAAATCTCTACCTCAGCGGGGCTGTGTCTTCTCACAGCCTTGGTCATCAGGCATCGCCGACTGTTGCTTTGCGTCAATGACGTCCTCGACTGACGCTGATAACGCTTATGACGTGCTGTCCCTGACGACGTTGATGACGAACTGTCTGATGACGCTGTTGATGGCATACTCTCCCTGATGACGCTGATGACGTGCTGTTTCTGCTGTGGTGCGATACCTGATGACGTGCGGTTTGTGATAGCGTTGGTGACACTGTTGACGCGCTGTCTCTGATGACGCTCTACATCTAACGCCATCGTTCCTGTTGTTGTTACAGAGCTGGATGACGGCGTCTGTAACCCGATTTGGTCCATGCGCGGCTTCTCTCAGACGTTCAACTTTTGGAGGGAGACGAAGCGGACGTCCAGCCTGCCGCTCAGCACCTACCTGACCTACGTGATGCTGCCCTGGCAAACCATCATCAGTGGTAAGTGGTGCCTGCTAGCGGGGCTCGCCGCTTGACCTCACCCTGGCGGTCCGTCAAGCGTATGCTGCCTTACCGCACCCTACGTCTGGGTAGTGAGCAAACTGAAGGTACGATGCGCGCTTGATGAGTTCCTTTTACAATTCGAAACGTGTTCGTACCGTATGGAAGGCAGGGAGAAGAGTTGGAATCGCAGTCGTATTTCGTGCTCGTAAAATTGCTGCTTCCAGGGGTTCACAAAATGCCCATTGCGTTTTTCCCTTTCATTCGCTCTCCTAACCGTATAAAAGGACAATGTGTAGATTTTTTGTCTTGTATTTTCGTCCATGGACAAGCATATTGTTTACCTTTTTAAAGACATAAGAAAACTTACAAGTGAAAATAACGTTTTGAGCTATTGATTGACACCAGCCCACATCTATTTTCAGATATCATAGCAGAAGAGAACAGGCAAGATCCGATTTTATCTTTTTAAAGTCGTCTGAGATGCAACGGTCATCGTCTAGTCAAGCTTCCACGCAAGTATTTGTATTTCTTCGCTACATCTCTCTCCCTCTCCTCTTCCGTGTACCGTCAATCGTATGCACTTTTACTCTGAGCTCCTCCATCACTCCATCGAACTATTGGAGCGTGCGATATTGACAACACAACGGTTAGCCTTACGGGCTAGCCCTCGAAGCCGACAGTTCAATGCGCACAGTTTTACACGGGTGTGTGTGAGCTTTACCCCAGTTCTCTGCGCGACGTCAGTGCTTCATACCATAAGACCAACGTGCCTCAAGTGGCGAGCGCCCCTGAACGGAAAGGGTGGCAAATTCAGAACGGTAAAGCAGACGGTTTCATATACCGAGTGCGTACCGCATAGCGTCACGCACTGTGAGACTCTGTGATTTAACGTGTAACCCGTATTGGGGCAAGCTGAAAAGGGCCCAACAGGGATCTGAAATGCATTATCTCCCATGGAGACTGTAGAATGGTCTCAACAGGTGGCGCATCCTTCAAACAGATATTCAATCACCCAATGAAGACGTGATACATGACGGGGTATTGTCAAAGCTTCGCGTATAAATGATGCTTTTTGACAAGTGATTGGGTGATCGGTGCCATTGCGCTCAGCCTAGGCTCGTGAAACAAATGTATCGATATTTTGTAGCGCCACAGTCGGTCGTGCTTTTGTGATATTGGATGGGCGTTAGGTGCAGATAGTTGCTACATGCAATAGGTACATTAAACCATTGTGTGCTTCATTTACCATTTTATGCTTCCTGCTTATTTATGCTACTTTTTAGGAGCAACTCAGTGGCAATGTATGTATTCTTGTGGCTACTGAAATTGTATGTGCTAACGGCTACATTCCTATGTTAAATAATCGCAGTATTTTTTGATATCGTGATTAGAATGGATTTTAACATAGTACATTAAACAAGTGAATATTTGCATATGCCAGCACTTTTTAGGCACTTTAATGTTTTCGGCTAAAGATCCCTGAATGTTTTCGGAAATACCGCGTGCCATTGTTATGAAGTCCTACGCAAAACCGGGTCTAAGATATTGTGCATTAATAGCCTAATAGATAATCTTTTATGTAGCTTTTTAACATTGTCGGGCTAGCTCATTGAATTATTACGTTCCTTCATTGTCTTTCGTGATTTAGATGCCGTATATTGTGTGCTGTCTACGTTGTTTTCTGTACGTGCTCTTATTCTTGTTGTGTTTTCGTGTGCTACATTTTTTGTGTGTATCTGTATCGGATTTCTAGTTTTAGAGTCACCCCTCGTGGTCAATGGTCATGCCATTGAACGTTATGTGGGGTGGAAAAACACTTTTTTCCTATACCGCTAGTTTGAATATGTGTAATTGGTGTTCCGGCATATTTATTCATGTTTTATGTCTTATATCATTTATATTCCACTATTTTAGTCATAACGGGTGTACCTATATCCTTTTGAATACAGGGTATCTGGGTTCACATTACGAAGTTAACTGATACCGGCATCAATTATGTTTTAATGGTAAGTTTCTTCAGGCTCTGTATAATACAAAGTGCCTATAGTGGTACAGCTTTTTAAGCTTGTATGTCAGTTTTACATTTGGGCTTTAAATACACGGCATTTATTACGAGCGAGCGAGCGCAGCGAGCGAAGTGAGTCTTTTCAATATAACGGAAAAATCTCAGTATGAGCGGCCCGGCCCGGCCCGGCCCGGCCCGGCCTGTAACGCTTATATCTCAGCAACCGCTGGACCGATTGGCCTGCGGTCTTTTTTGTTGGGTAGCCCCATCCCTTCTACCCCGTAATTGACTACTTTTGATACATCTCAGTGACCGTCGTGGCACGTGCCACGTGAAAAGTCAAGGGTGTTTCAAGCTGTTTTGCAAAAGTAGTGATTTTGAGCAGGGCTGCGGAGTCGATGGATTTTCGGCGACTCCGACTCCGACTCCGACTCCGGCTTTCAAAAACCAGCTCCGACTCCGACTCCGACTCCGGGCAGAATTGTCGACTCCGACCGACTCCAACTCCCGACTCCGACTCCGCAGACCTAGCAGGGCTGCGGAGTCGACAGATTTTCGGTGACTCCGACTCCGACTCCGGCTCGGGTTTCTAAAATCGACTCCGACTCCGACTCCGACTCCGGCCACAACTGTCGACTCCGACCGACTCCGACTCCGACTCCGACTCCGCAGCCCTGATTTTGAGAGGCTCATATCTCAGCAGCCGCTTGGACGATTGACTTGCGGTAATTTTTATAGGGTAGCAGCATCTCTTCCACCCAAAATAGGATACTCTCGATGCATGTGGGTCACCCCCAGTGCACGTGCAAAATACAACAATAAGAGGTGCCAAATTTGTTCCCATTTCAGTAACTCGGTAATTACTGGGGCGATTTCGCTGAAACTTGGCATACAGGTAGGCACCCACCAGGCAATGCATTCCCATGTGTTGCGGTTAGGGTGCTACTGCACGTGCGCACGTGCAGGGGGCGTTTCCAGATCTCGAGAACGGCTGAGCCGATTGCGCTCAAATTTGGTACACGGTTGGGGACCAGTTAGTAGGGTGCCGTGCAAAAGTCATTTTGGACCCCGTTTGCACGTGCGCACATGCAGAATGCCGCTTCCAGATCTCAGGAACGGCTGGGCCGATTGCGTTCAAATTTAGCACACCGCTAGCGACCAGTTAGAAGGGTGCTTTGCGCTAGCCCGTTGGAAGCACCCTCTCGCCCTTCCGCACGTGCAGGGCTCACTATCTCGCTCGCTCGTTCTTCGCCCAAAAGGCGTTTTACTGGTGCTACCGGTGCTACAAAATATCGCATTACGGTTTGCTTATTTAGGGATTCGCCGGTCCCGGAGCCTGTTTGGTTGCAGTGGTGTTTGTTGTATTGTTTGTATGAACCCTTTTGGGAACGATGAGACACGATGGCCATCGTGAAGTAACTCTTGTGATAGTGATGATGAAAGATTGTTAGAGTGAAATATTTGTAGTGATTGTGGATTAATGAGGAAATACTTCAGGCAACATGCATCGGCTTCTGATGCCTCGTTACCGTTTTTATGTCACGGTATTCCGAGTGCAAACCCTAACACTCGCAACTGGTACACAGTACCCGTGTATTTTCGAACAAAAACAAACACTGGGTGCCTAGCCAATACCGTGAGCGTGCACGGAGCCCGCCCGTCTCTCCTTTTCCGCTGTGAGGACATGGAACCCCGGTGCGACCCGTCCTCCTGAACTTTGCTACACTAGAGCCACCGTCTCCGTAACATCCGATCGACCTGTCCTCTGTGGCCACCTCTCCGCAACTCGCTGACTGCCCCGGGCCCGGTGTTTCCCGTACTGCAAAATCACTGGCGCAACGTACGACAATAACAATCCTTCCACTGATAGAAATTAGAATGACAACAACGTTCTGAACTACTTGAAATGCAATTCTGTCTGTGTGGCAAAAGTGGAAACAATAAGTTTACCGACAACTGCAACCGACACATGCTGATCTGAGAACGTTGCATAAAACCTTTGAGTTTGATTGTTCTCCGTTTCTGACCTATCTACTGCTCAAACTCTGGCGGCTCGAAGAAGTCGGCCTGCCCGCCGTCGCCGTCCACATCATACAGCCACGGGTACTGCTTGGGACACGAGAAACACGTGCCCATGTACCTGCGGGCAGAGGCGGGACCGTTAGAAATCTGCGGGGAGGCCGGGAGGGGAGGGAGCTCATCGATGAATGGGAGCCTGTGACGGGTGGGTGGGGCGGCCAATCCAGGCGTCGGGTTTGGAAAGTGGAACAGGGCGTGGCCCATGGTGACCTATTAGTTAAAGATTGCTGGCATAGACTGATTAAAAGAACAGCCAACCAGACCCACGAATAGGCACTGTGCCAGTCGAGAGATTCTATGAGGTACTGGTTAGTGGTTAGGTATCTGGACACACATGACACAATACGACGTATGTACGTGATCCTCTTTTTGCCGATACCTTGAACTACACTTAATTCTTTTCATCTCTCCACCTCTCCTCCCTCTCCTCCCTCTCTCTTTTCATCTCTCCACCTCTCCTCCCTCTCCTCCCTCTCTCTCTCTCTCTCTCCCCTCTCCCTCTCTCCCCCTCTCTCTCCTCTCTCCCTCTCGCCACACACCTGGTGCCGGGGATCCAGCGCTTGTCCACATCCGGCGGCGGCTTGAAGGGCACCTTGCACGAGTTGGGGAGGTTGCAGGCCGGTGGGGGCACCTCCTTGCGCTTGCGGCAGTCCCAGTCGTCAAACTGGGAGATCTGGTTGACGGGCACCGGATCGGACATCCACAGCAGCGCCTGTGTCATCGTCACGAACCACGTATCGTCCCTGAGGAAGGGGAGGGGGTCAGTGGTGGTCGTTTTATGGGGAGGGGTGGTCAGTGGTGGTTATTTTTGAAGTGCGGAGAGCCCTTGTGTCCTTAGTTCGTGGTTCATGAGGTCGAGTAATAGAGGTTGGTGGTTATTTAGGGGGGGGGGGCTAGGACTGGAAACCTAGCCTGGTTACTGTAGTGAGCGGGAACCGTGAGGTTGCGCTGCAGTGTGGGAAAACATTACCATAATTAACGCACTAAAAATGGTCGGGGTTTAGATGCGAATGAACCATAAGAGCACGGCACACCCCCAAGGGCGGATCTAGGGGAACGTTTTGGGGGGGGTCACCAGTCGGCCGACATGCCAGGTCTGATGAATGAATTCTGACGACCGGGGGGGGGGGGGGGGTAGGGAGCGAGTATGTCGAGATCAAATGACATTTGATCTTCGTCGTTTCTGAGTTGAAGTTTTATCGTAAGTCACTCGGCTCAGTAGTTTTAGTTAGTGAAACCCACCTATAGAGGAGCGTCGCCACGGATTTTTTTACTGGGGGGGGGGGGCGGATCGACCGACTTAAAAACCCAGAAGTAGTAGATATAGTTACCTCACTTATGCATTAGTCTAATGCCCAATGCATTAGTAGCATACAGTCACGATCTCTCTTATTGACCTGTGTATGAATCGGCGGCGCGAAGCGCCGCAAAAATTTGAAAAAAGTTGTCAAAACACAGCTCTAAAACACAAATATTACAACCCTTTTAGCATGCTAGTACAAGCCGGAGTTCCTTCACAGTGCACATATGAATTCCGATTCAATTCGACACGGTTGGTGTTATTACAGTCACGATCTCTCTTATTGATTGGTGTATAAATCGGCGGCGCGAAGCGCCGAGAACATTTGCAAAAGAATGTGTCAAAACACAGCTCCGCTCCAAAACACAAATTTTACCACCCTTTTAGCATGGCAGTACAAGCCGGAGTTTCTTCACAGTACACATATGAATTCTGATTCAATTTGACACGGTTGGTTTATGTAATTACAGTCACGATTTCATATTGACCTGTACGTAGGTATGTACATGAATCGGCGGCGCGAAGCGCCGCGAAAAATTTGCAAAAACATTTGTCAAAACACAGAGGGGGTCTCCTCTCTACAGAGGACCACCGATCTCTACTGCGGGCCTCCTCTTTTCACAGGGCCTCTTAACTACAGAAGGCTTCCTCTCTACAGAGGGCTTCCTCTCTACTGAGGGTCTCTCCCTTTCAGAGGGCCTCCTTTACAGAGGACCTCCTCTCTTCAAAGAGCCAGAGGACCTCATCTCTGCAAAGGGCTTCCTCTCTTCAGAGGGCCTCTTCTCTACAGAGAGCCTCCTTTCTTCAGAGGGCCTTCTCTCTACAGCGGGTCTCCTCTCTTCAGAGGGCCTTCTGCATTCAGGCGGTCTCCTTTCCACAGAGGGTCTCCTCTACAGAGGGCCTCCTACCTACTGAGGAGTCAGAGGGGCCGACACAGACACTAGCGGTTATTCACTGGAGGCCCCAGGAAGTAAGAAGGGCCCTAGCTGTCAGGCTGGTCAGAGTGCCCTGAATGTCCTGACGTGATTTTTGGGATTCCCGTGAATTTCTTTCGCCTCCGACGTGATTTTGACCTGCCAGGGCCCAGGGGCACTAAAAATAAAACAAACAAAATAAAAAAATGGAAATAGGACATCACCAAAATTAAGTGGCCGAAATCCGTTGAGTTTTTAATTTTGCGTATAGGTAGGGGCACCACGAATTAAATTCATGACCATCCCCTTGGAGTTTTCCTGGATCATCCCCTGGTGCTCGCACGGTTGAGACAAAAATGAGTAAGATTCTGGCCTTCAATACGCCTTTTCACGCAACACGATCCAGAAAAACAAAGGTATTAGCTCAGAAGTGTTTGACATGTGATTTTGAGCATGCAAGACGGCGTCTATAGCGCATTTAGGTCTTCGGCTTTTGGGGGGGGTCAAATGACCCTCTCAGACCTTTTGGGGGGGGTCATGACCCCGTGGACCCCCCCCAGGATCCGCCACTGCACACCCCAGCCTCTTCTCAACTCACTTGGTTCTCGCCCACTTGAGGAACTTGTTGAGTCCCTCGATGAGGTTGGCCTCGTTGAACCAATTGGTGTGGAAGGACATGACGTAGGGGGCGCGGTTGTTCTCGTAGTGCCGGTTGAAGTCCTCCTGGAGCCAGGTCAGGATCTCGTTGGGC